TTCTCAAGCTTCAGCTCTCTTTGCTTTACCAGTCTCAACTTGGTCCTCTTCACCTATAAGCTTCAGCTGCTCAGAGTAATCTTCAATCACATGGAAGTGTCAACTTCATCCTTCAATCTTTTTCAAGCCTCAGCTCTTCATTCAATCTCCACTGGATCTTCCTCACAAGTGTCAACTTGTTCTTCTTGCTCTTCAAGCTTCAGCTATAATGGTAATGCTCAAGGAATCATCCTCTTCCACACTCTTCAATGAAGTCCTCATCTTCAAACTCAAGTCTAACATCTCTCAAGATACTCAAACCAGAAGACAATTGGTTTAACAGGATGAGTGGAAATGATAAACAACTTACTGACAACCAAAGGAAGCCTGTAAGGGTTCATCATTATGAGAGACTGGTTCCCTCAAAGTTCTGCTTCCCAGATAAAGCCACTCATCCTTCCAAAGGAGGGGTGTGAATATCTGAGAAGGACTTTTAGTCATTGGGAGGAATGGAAGCACAAGATGCTTTCCATGTTTGTGAAATAAATCATTCTAACTACAAGGCTCTCCCTATGTCCTATCTCCTAACCTTCATCAGACACCTTCAGGCACAAACAAATCCAAAGCTCCAAGCAAATTCAAGCAACTTCAAGCATCCTCACCTTGTCTTCAACTTGTCTTCAATCTCAACCAAAGGCAAACCAAGCCCAAACCCTAATCTAAGGGAACTAAATGAGTTAAACTAGTTGAAATAGTAAATTAGGATCACCTAAAACCTAGTACTAAAGTTAGTCCTAACTAAAATACTAAAATCAATTGTAAAATCCTACAAAAATATCTATGGCAACCTAGGTCAATCATGACTCTACCACATTAATTTCAGAGATCAAATCATCAAATTAGACCTAGAACTAAATCCTACATTACAAGGTATCAAACCTAAACCCTAAAAGGAAGCATCTAAATATCAATCTAGAAAGCACACCTATTTTCATCACAAAAATGTGAGAAAAATTTTATGGGATCATACATGTCTAACCTAATCACACACAAAAAATTAGGATCAAAATCATCACCATGAGATCATACAAAATTCCACAAAATTGGGGATCAAACATAATCATTTTAATATCAATTAAAATGTAAAATTCCCATTAAATCCGAAATTACATGAAATGAAAATATTTTTTCTCTAAAAAATACTAGACTCAATCATGAGTAAAATGCAAAAAGAATGGGTTTAATTGGATTAATTTTCAATTTTATATGAATTTTACAAGAACCATGAAAAAAATGAAAATTAAAAGAAAATCCAAATAAAAGACTAAACACACGGTGCAAATAGCAATCAGACTCAGTTAAAACAATGGGTTGGGCCATCAGGGGGTGTGGATAACACTTAGTTCACTAAGCCCAAAACGCCTGAATAAATGAAACGGTGCGTTTCATTCATCAGAATCCTTCACAAATCAACTTTAAAACGTGGCCCTTGGATCAAGCTCCCAGTCCAAGTCAAAACAAGATCCAATGGTATCAGAGTCATCTTCAACCTTTCAAACATCTGAGCTTCGCGCCCAGCTCCGGCCACCACCGGTGGAGCTCCTGTCATCCCCTTCAACCCTAATTCTCCCTAGAGGCCTCCAAACCAAGAGGTCAAAACATGAAACTCATCCCAAATCTTGCCACGAACTCAACCATACCCTTAGTTTCCTCTGAAACCTCAAGATTCTCCATATCCCAATCTCAACCGAAAATGGCGATTCACCTAATTTGTCTCTAATTCCTCAATTAACTATCTGAAATCCATTCTACACCATTCTACAATGAATCTAACACCTTAATTCAACCTAATTCCACCTAAATCATGCTATAGGAAGAAAGGTACCAACCTAAAAATCTTGGTTGAACAGATGCACGAAACCTCCAATTCAAGCTCTACAATCTTGCAGACACGATCAATGAACCTCCTCCTTGCTTCTGTATGCAAAAGAACCAGTTGAAAGTGCTTGAATCTTGAAACCCGATGGTGAGTTGCAGGTGGAGAAATTCACTTGCTCAGACACGATTTAGCCACCAATTCTTCTTGAAAATGATCTGGAATCACTCCTTGACATCCATGGAAGAAGTATCAATCAAGAAAATGGAAAGAAAATGGAGAATTTGATGAAACCGATTGCACTTGCAAGCTATGAAATTTCAATCTCAAACTAAGCTCTCTCCTTCAATGATCACCAACCTCTGCAATGGATCAACTCTATTCCTTATATAGATGAAGTTTGGATGATCTAGAACCCTCTAGATCCTTCCAATGAGATTTTCCACTTCTCATGTCATGAGATTTTCAATCATGTATCATGACATGCACAATTATGTTTCCCTTGGTGCAGCAACTTGTTCTAATCTCAAAATCTCCCCAAGTGAGATATTAGAGGTGTTTAGCTTGCAAAAAGCCTTGCTCATGCCTTGACTTTGAGTTTTGCAAATGTTGCTTAATATGCAAGTAAGTGCTTTTCAAAGCAAGTTCACAATTTAGACCTCAAATAAAAAATGTGGCTAAACCAATGTTCTTAAAATGTTTTCTAGAGTCAAAATGATATATTACATGCCATCGTTTGGATGTGTAGGTTGAAAATATCAATTTCCAACTTTGGTTTATTTAACTTGTGTCCTTATTTTAGGTCATTTTTGCAACTTTGAGCTACAAGCCTTTACATCATCTCATGACCTCCTTAATAGCCTTAAAACATCATTTTGAACAAGTTTGATGTTGAAGATTTTTCCATTTGAAGCTTGGAAATAGGAGTTATGGCCTAATGGTTGAAATGACCTGTAATCTCCAAATGACCAAAATGCCCTTGACTTGTCAAAGCCATAACTTGAGTTCTACAAAACCTATCAAGGACTTCTAGTACTCTCTAGAAATATAAGAAGATAAGGAACAACATTCATGTTGACCAAAAGTTCATAGGAATCATACTTCTTGGGAAAACGTTTGATGCAAGTTGGGTAACTTTCAAGGCCCCAGATTCACATACCTCAGATGACCTGTAACTTGTCAAAGTCATAACTTGAGTTCTATAAATCCTATCAAGGACTTCTAGTACTCAAATTAAAGCTAAGGACAAGCTCTACAACATTCATGTTAGGGTCAAGATGAGATGACAATCACATCTTGAGCGAAACTTCCTTGAAGATAGGGGTCAAACTAGGGGATTTTACACTGTCAAGCCTTAGAAACCCTAGCTTAAAACTTCTCAAACTCTTCAATCATGATGAGTTAACCTTGGAATCATCCTTATAGCATCTCAATGCATCAATCCATGATCACATGGCCCTTGAATTAGGTCTCAACCTTGCTCAAATCATCAGTTGACCTAGGGTTGACCCAGTCAAACCCTAATTACACCACTCATGGCTAGGTCTCTTTAATCTTGTACCATGACCTGTCTAGGCTTCATGATGGCTCTCAAGGCATCTCATAAGCTCTCTCAAGGCTTCAAGTCTACATTCATGGCTTCAGAATCATCTGAGGAGCTCCCACAACTCTCAAGTTAGGAGACACCCTTTTGGTTTCAACCACTCTCTCTGAGGATCCTCTAACTTCTCTGACAAAGATATCTACCCTTGAACACTTGAATAACCTTCTTGGATAGCTTCATGGTCTTGTATAGCTCTTAATTGGTAATCATACCTCTTGATCTCCTGCATATATGTCAATGAAATGCAAATGATAATGCTAATGTGAATGAGATGCAACACAAGCTAAGTAAAGAAATGTTGGTCAAATTTTGGGGTGCAACACCATGCTTTTGAAGAAACTAACATGGCTTAGTAGCATGAAACCTAGAAGAAACCCTATAAAAGAAACACAAAAAATAGGTTTTTCCAAAGCCCTCGATATATTATTAGTAGTAACAACAATGAATTAGAATCCAAGACTTGGAGAAGTCATAGTCATATCCAGTTCTTCAAATTGATGATTTTAAGAGAAAAAAATGAATATTTTTATAAATGAGTTATAGAAATTGGAATTCGCGTATGAAAGAAGAAATGGAAGGGAAAGAAAGAAGAAAAGAAGCAATTAATAAATTCATTAATATGTTATGTTTCTCTCTTTTTTTTGTTAAAAGAAAAATTTATGTTTAATTTATTTTTAAATAAAAATAAAATAAAAAGTAAATTTACATATACTTATGCTGCTAATTATTAACAAATACAATGTGGTAGCCAAGTGTAAGGTTTAAGTTCTAAATTTCTAAATTTTTTAATTAATTAATGATTCAAATTTTTTAAATAAAAATAATGACATGTAATTAAATTTGGTCAACTTCAAACTGACAAGTCATTATTACTAGTGCCACAATATTAAAATTAGTCCGAAATTGAAAAGGAGACTAAAGTTAAAATAATATTTAAAAAATATCAAAATTTTGATTTTTAAAATAAGACACCAAAATTATAAAAAAATAAAGGATCAAAATTGCAATTATGTCAAATTTTTGTCATAGAATTTCTTTTGTTAAAAAAAACGAGTTTTTATTTGTTGTTGCCTTTTTTTTCTTTTGTTTATTTATTTTTTAATTTTTTATTTCATGTGCGAGGTTTAGCCTCCCCAGTTTGTCTATATTCTTTTTTTTCTTTTTAAATCAAAATTTTTATTATTAAAAAAAAACATATTTTTTTAAAAGATAAATATTATTCTAATAACTATACAATGTTAATATTATAGTATGACTTTTGAAATTCTCATATACATGTTTATATATATATATATATATATATATATATATATATATATATATATATATATATATATATATATATATATATATATATATATATATATATATATATATATATATATATATATATATATATATATATATATATATATATATATATATATATGAGTAAAGAGATAAAATTTTAATAGTCAAAATAAAAAACTTCTATGATTTTTTTTTTATATATAAAACTCAATAACTAAACACTTAGGTAAAAACAATAAATAATAACTACAACTACAAATTTATTCCTCCAATTTGAAGAAAGCTTTCCTTTAAAATTACTATTTGACTATGATAACACCCTTTAATACCAAGATTAGAAATCAAATTTGTTCTTAAGTCAAACAAAATTAATTCACCATCTTGTTTTCTGAAAAATATATCGCCCTCTTTGCCTATTCCAATAGGACGGTCAACACAAGACAATGGTCCAACAATAAAGAGATGTATCCATGATTCTTTAACACCAAGTTCACCTAGTATTGATATATAAAAAGTAGTAGTACCATCATACCATGAAATCGTGGCAATTGATCCATTTAAGATCACCAACTGTGTGCTAAAATATTCATGATTAAGATTAGCATCCATGAATAAGGGTATAAATGTTGTGTTGAATATCTCATCATTCAAGTTAAATGAAACCAAATAGAGATCATCTTTATTTATATAAGATGATTTATGTATCCAATGACACATTCCGAATATGTATATTCGTTCTCCGGTAATATCTATACCACAAGGAGGCATGTCCATATGCAGTGTTTTCCAAGAATTTCTTTTTAAACTATATATCTCCCAATATACGGCTTCAGATGTATATTTATCTGGGTTGCCAATCATTACAAATCGAATTATTTTATAGTCATCTTGAATATGGTCATAACCAAATCCGTGAAGTACAACTATATATACTTCAGAAGGGGGTGGTACAAATTCAACAGGACTACGAGGGATGACTATTAATTCGTTGATATTTGGATTCCAAATTACAATTCTACAAACTCCATTTACATTTTCGTACATGCAAAGAGTTCCATTAATACTACCAGAATCTAAAATATAAAAATGTGGTTTGTCCAAGTGGAAGGGATTTGGCCATTCTAATTTGACTCTATTTATAAAACTATCACCATAAAGAGAATACAATGAGTGATAAACACTCCTATCATATTCAGTTATTGTCTGTTGTAAGAGAAGAGATGTATCATCGTAATAAGAATGATGATTAGATATTAAATTGTTTGAGAAAATACTCAAGAAATTAGAATTTTCAAATAGAATCCCCCATGACTTGCATACGCATCCGAATCGTTTTAATGATTTTAAAGGAGAATTTGAGAGAATTGAAATTCCAAGATCATAAGGTATATGGTTTCTTACCTTTTTACCCATGGATTTTTTCATATTAGGTTGCACCTTTAAATCCAATGAACAACGAGTGGTCATTAAAATATTGTGTTAAATAAAAATTTATTGAGATTGAGATGATTTAGATTTCAAGTGGCAATAAACAAGATGAATTTGACTCAGTTAGTACTTTGGTTTAAATAATATGCTAAATTAAAAAAACTAATATTAAAAGTTTCCATATTTTGCAAAATTGAATCTGGACGAATTATTTGACAAAAGTTGTCTTAATGCATAAGTTTCCACAAATAACTTAATTGAGAAGTAATCAATAAATATATATTTTTCCAAATAAATTAATATAAACTATTTTTATTTAATTATTTAGTTAAATAGAAACAATTTAATTAAGAAAAAACTTCAAATATTTAGATTCATTAATTTTCCATATAAGTTTGGCGCATATTTTATATATATGTAAATAAATATATAAAATTGTTTTATTCGCAAAGCTTATATATATATATATATATATATATATATATATATATATATATATATATATATATATATATATATATATATATATATATATATATATATATATATATATATATATATATATATATATATATATATATATATATATATATATATATATATATATATATATATATATATATATATATATATATATATAATTAGAGAATCTAAATATTTGAAGTTTTTTCTTAATTAAATTGTTTCTATTTAAATCAATATTTAAATAAAAATAGTTTATATTAATTTATTTGAAAAAATATATATTTATCAATTACTTCTCAATTAAGTTATTTGTGAAAACTTAGGAATTAAGATAACCTTTGTCAAATATTTCGTCCAGATTCAATTTGCCAAAATATGGAGACTTATAATATTAGTTATTTAATTTAGCATTTATTTAAACCAATGTACTAGCTGGGCCAAATTCATCTTGTTTATTATTCCTTGCAATCTAAATCATCTCAATCTCAATAAAATTTTATTTAACACAATATTTTAATGACCAATCGTTGTTCATTGAATTTAAAGGTGCAACCAAATATGAAAAAATACATGGGTTAAAAGGTATGAAACCATATACCTTATGATCTTGGAATTTCAATTCTCTCAAATTTACTTCTAAAATTATTAAAACAATACATATGCGTATGCATGTCATGGGAAATTCTATTTAAAAATTCTAATTTCTTAAGTATTTTCTCAAACAATTTAATTACTCATCATCATTCTTATTATGATGATATATCTCTTCTCTTACAACAGACAATAATTGAATATGATAGGAGTGTTTATCACTCATTGTATTCTCTTTATGGTGATAATTTTATAAATAGAGTCAAATTAGGATGGCCAAATCCCTGCCACTTAGAGAAACCACATTTTCATATTTTAGATTATGGTAGTATTAACGGAACTTTTTGCATGTACCAAAATGTAAATGGAGTTTGTAGAATTGTAATTTGGAATTCAAATATCAACTAATTAATAGTCATCTCTCGTAGTCATGTTGAATTTGTACCACCCCTTCTGACGCATATTTAGTTATACTTCACGGATTTGGTTATGACAATATTCAAGATGACTATAAAATAATTCGAGTTATAATTGTTGACAACCCATATAAAGATATATATGGAGGACAATATTGGGAGATATATAGTTTAAAAAGAAAATCTTAGAAAACACTGCATTTAGAATGTGTCATTGGATACATAGATCATCATATATAAATAAAGATGATCCCTATTAGGTTTCATTTAACTTGAATGATGAGATATTCAACACAACACTCGTACCCTTATTCATTGATGCTAATCTTAATCATGAATATTTTAGCACACAGTTGGTGATCTTAAATGGATCATTTGCCACGATTTCATGGTATGATGGTACTACTATTTTTTATATATCAATACTAGGTGAACTTGGTGTTAAAGAATCATGGATAAATCTTTTATTGTTGGACCACTGTCTTGCGTTATACTAGTCAAGTAGTAATTTTAAAGGAAAGCTTTCTTCGAATTGGAGAAATAAATTTGTAGTTGTAGTTATTATTTATTGCTTTTACCTAAGTGTTTAGTTATTTGGGTTTTATATATATATATATATATATATATATATATATATATATATATATATATATATATATATATATATATATATATATATATATATATATATATATATATATATATATATATATATATATATATATATATATATATATATATATATATATATATATATATATATATATATATATATATATATATATATATATATATATATATATAATCATAGAAGTTTTTTATTCTGGCTATTAAAATTTTATCTCTTTACTAATTGCTTGGCAATTACACATATCGAATATGTAAAATCTTGTATATGAGAATTTCAAAAGTCATACTATAATATTAACATTGTATGGTTATTAGAATAATATTTATCTTTAAAAAAATATGTTTTATTTTAATAATATAAGTCTTGATTTAAAAAAAAAAAAGATATTTGGAACTCTTTTTTTGGAACTCTTTTAAAAAGTAAATAAATAAATAAACAAAAGAAAAAAAGCCAACAACAAATAAAACTGTTTTTTTTATATCTCTTTCTATTATGGCATTAGAGCACGGTTCTAACTCGGAAGAGATATTGGAGAAGAAAAATATAAGTAGAGTTTGTACCTAAGATTAACGGGTGAATTAGGTACTTTAAAATGTTTTGGTTTTTAACTTATATCTTATTATTTTTGCAATTTAGCTTCTATGTGATGAAAGCGGTAAAGTGCAGAAAGATAAAGAACACAGAGAAATATCCTAGTTTCCCTCATAGTCCGAGAGTACTCCAGTTCCCTTTGAACATGAAAGATATTTTACTATTGTTAGGAATTATACAAGATTACCCTAGTCTTTCTATACAGACACTAACAAAAACACTAATAACAATCCTCTTTGATTTACAACACACTTATTTCTAAAAATCCTAGAAAAAAAGTAAAGGCCTCTACAAGAAAATACAATCCACCTCTCTATAGACCCCTCCTAGTACCAAATAATCCTTGATACTAAGGAACATGTAACAATTACAATATATTTAAATCAATAAAGTTTGTAGAATTCTTTAAGACTTATAAGAAAGCTTTCTTCTCTTAAAAAAAGTGTCTACTTTAATTATACAAAAGTGTCTGAAAATAATTATTTTGTGAAATTTTAAAATACAACTGTAAAATAGGAAATGTCATGAGTAAATAAGAAAAATAATGGCTCAAAAAGGTCAAGGGATCAAAGAGTTATGGGTATTTTAAAATGTGAAGAAACATGAAATTAAAAGTGACAAAAATAATGGTTCAAGTCCAAGGAGGACTTGAACCTGTATGCGCAACAATGCAATCAAAAGAAATAGCCACTACCCCAGGTGCTTGGCCCAGTCATGAAGTACACACGTGCAAATAAATAATAAAACAAGTTGTAAAACTTGAAAAATAAAAAGAAGCAAAAGGAACCGAGCAAGGGGGAATCGAACCCCAGTTCCTTGTCTCTCTAAAACACAAACACGCATGCCTTCTGCCACTAGTGTGGCTGTTACATCCAATCACCAAATGGAAACAACATAAATAAATATTAAATTCATATTTTTTAAATGCCACTTGCCACATCATCAAAACCCTAACCCAACTTATTCTTCTTCTTCTCTCTCGCTCGTGTTTTCTTTTTCTTCTTTACCATGCTCAGACTTTATCATCAAATATCTCACTCAAATCTTAATCATTTTTAAAACTATAAAAAACAAAATCATGCTATTTTTTTACAAGGATTGACATGGTATAATTTTTAATTGTTAAAACTCAACATACAAAGCATGCAAAAGGTGTAAACCGAAGTGACAACCTGGGTTTCACACAATAAAAACACCCCATGAACACATGAAATTAGGCAACCAGCAATAAGAACACACTAGACACAGATCAATCTACATCTTTCTTCCAACAAAATCAAGAATAATGCATGAATTAAGGGTTTCAAGATTCAAGAAGCATACATATTGGAGCAAGTCCAATGCTTCTTCTTTGATAGCTACAAGAACAAAATGAAGCTTGCATTTGACTCTTTTCTCCTTAGAGTGTAATCTTAAATGGAAAGTTGGCCAGAAAACCTTTGTATTCTTCTACACGATAACTATGAGGATGAAGATGGTAGATGACGATGAAGATGATACAAAAAGGTTTTGCGGGATCGAATGAGGCATATGTAATTTATGTAGAAGGTTTGAATGATTGGAATGGGTGGAGAGTCACTAGTTTGAGAGAACTCAAGTTTCACTCTAATGGAGAGTAAAAATGACAAGTGAGAAAGGCTCGGGTTCAGAGGGTTTTGGGAGTGTTTTTGTTGTGTCTTTTGCTTGAGAAATTGCCCTCTATTTATAAGAGAAGTGGAATGGAAATGAGGTGATAAAATTATGGAGTTCTTGCATTCGGTTTAGTCGAGAATGAACCATGTAGTTTCATGCAAAATTATGGTTCCAAGGTGTAAGTACCATGGCTAGTTTAGCGAGGTTGATGCTTAGATCTTGCTTTCTGCAGAAAAAATAGCTTAGAGTCTCCAAGAGAGTGGACTTTGAAGTTTAAAGTAGCTTTTCCAAAATGGCAACATAACCTTTATGCCAAAATACTCCATAAATGGTATAATCACTTGGATAATCCTTCAACTCCTTGGATAATGCTTCAAGATTTTGTATAGTCTTCTGAACAATGAAGAATCTATGGAAAATGACCATTTGGGTCATTTTCTTTACTTTCGGATCGCGATAGGCTACCTTCGATTAATCGACATTATGTTTGCGATTAAGACGAGATCCTACTTTTTGGTTTGTGCGATACGATTAAATCGAAGAATGGTCTTCAATATCATTTCTCTATCTTGTCCTTAGCACGTCTATCAATTACGCGACCTCCTATAGTTTGACTTCTCTTATAAGTCAAGCTACGATGGTTTAGCGTCACATTGGTCCCGATTCAATTC